CCGGCGGAAGCGGGGCCGCAGGCCTCTCGGCGCCCGAGCGGAGCCCGAGCTGTCGCAGCTGCAGGTGGTGATCGAGTCCAGGGACCCCGGCTGCCACAGCTACCCGCACCTCGGCTCCAGCGAGGCCTGTGAGTACAGGCACAGCCGGTCATCGCGTTCCTCTCTCCTTCCACGGCTCATACGGCGTCGGTAGTGCTTGTTTTCCAGTCATGTGTCCGATGTAAGAAGTCAGCAGATCTTTTTTTTTTTTTTGAGGAACTGAAAATCACAGGCTCACTGAGGCGCTCGAGAGCACTTCGCAATAGTGGCAACCAGAAGATAATTCTTGCTCTTAATGCTGCGGGAGATCTCAGCCCACAGCGAATCATGAACCTGTTTGGAAGCGTAACCTATGATTTCTGCAGTTTAGCTACCATTCAACTCATTTACTTGCTGCTATCCTTTCTAATAACTATCATTAAGAATCAGAGGTATGCTGTGCTGTACCCATTTATGTATGGTGAGATCTATGCATAGTGAAGAGATCATCCTTTCAGTACAGGATGTTGAGTGAAGGCTGGCTTTGCTCATCCGTCTGCTCTCCTCAGAAATAACTATGTTTGAATTGAAGCTACCTACAGTGGCTTTTGTACATGGTATTTCTGTTTTTCCGGCAAAACCAGAAAGGGTTCATTGAACTTCTTGTTATTCGTCTTGCAGTATTATAAATCCACCTTCTCTCTATCAGTAAATACAGGAAAGGATTTAAAAACATGATGGTTGTATTGGATTTGTTCTGCTATGCTGCTTTAGTTCTATGACTGAAGTCCAGAGTGGGGAAGTACTCTAAAGTCGAGTCCTAATCACCAGAGAAGTTTCTTAACAGAAATAAGGATGTATTTGTAGTATTACTTTTTGTCTGGGCAGGTTAGCACGGAATTCAACATACTCAATTAATCTAGTTCTGTCTTGCAGTAGTCTCCTGTACTCGGCAAGGCAATCATTTGGTATCCAGGATACAGATCCTTAGAAAAAGATCCTTTTAATCTTAAGTCATACATCTGCAGCAGGATTAATTCCACCTGACTTGTAATAGAATGTACTGATTTTAAGTTTACTTAATCTTTTTGTTACATTTAGCCAAGTAGTGCAATTTTTCTGTGCAAGTTTATCATACATTTCAATGCAAATGGCGTATAGCAGCAAAATTGCTAATGCTTTAGAATTTTTCTGCCACAGTCAGGTTATTATACTGCGTTACTACTAGTTGAACTTTGAACTGCTTTGTGAACTTCAGATTTTAACCAAAGCTGGTTCTTCTCTTCTGTTGGGGAATCTGTCAGATAATGTGATTTTTAGGTTGCACCCTCCAGAACAGTCAAGAGTTTTTCCCTCTGCTGTGGGAAAGGAGTTTCCTGTTACAAGTAACATGGAGTTTTTCTTATGTAGTAAGCTGAGCTCTCCAGGCTTCAGCAAGGTTTTAATTTTCTGTTTTTAATGGGATGGCTTGTTCAGGGAACAAATGCTGAAATATGCAGTTACTAGTCATTTGCTGGATTGAGCAGTTTGACTCCTTTTTTTAATACGGATAGTATGGATCAGTCAGTGACTATCCTATATCAAGAGTATTGGATAAGTAACCAAAGTACAAGCTATCTGCCCTTCTCCCTACTGACTTCTTGCTTGTGTAAAAAGTTCCAAATAGCCATACAAAATTTCTTGTTCTATGTTCATTTAAGGTATGATGTATGTTCAGAAAAAAGTCTACTGTCTTTGAAGTAAATCGCTGACTGAACTACAGTTTACCACAGAAAGACCCGTGGCGATTGCAGTAGTCTTCCAAGTTCTCTTTCTTACCCAGAACTTCCAGTATATGCAATCTGTGCTTAGGTTAAAACGGAAGCTTGGAATATTTTATTGGTGTCCCTGAATGGCTTTTCCCTGGTAGTTTAGATGAATGTTTGAACTGCATAACTTAAAACCAACCATTCTTTCATACTGAGGCAGATCCAATAACTCTTTGTACAGCAATTTACCCCTCTGATTTTTTCTCTGCTGCTTTAAATGTGCAAATCTGGTCAATTTATTATTGCTTTATGTTTAAATAATAATATAAACATATAGACTTATAGATAGTGTATTTTTATACATATACATGTATATGATTTTTTAAAGAATTAACATATTTAAAAGGTATTTGTTTCTTCACTAAAATTTACTGAGTCTTAAATGGAAGAACAAAATGATTTTAGCTTTTTTTTTACAGTACTTTGTACTGTACTTCAGTACTCAAATTTGAAGGATTGTTATGAGTAAATATACTTGGTCTTAATGCTTCAGATACAATTCTTAATTTTACTTACCTTACTTCATCTCACTGCCCCTGTACACGTGCTCATTAGATTGGGAGTCTGATATTTTTTTTTTCTTAGACTTTCATAGTGAGCACCTAACAATATTACATGACAAGCTATATCTCTAAAAAAATATGTAAGCATAATCTATATAAAAGGAAGGAAAAAGGAGAAGTAAACTTTTGCGGTTAGGTCTGGCTTAGTTGCCCAACCCTTATCATCTGTGTCTTAAATGTAAAAATATCATCTGATATGTTTTAAATCGGTTGAGTTAAACTTGGCTGGAATTCTGGCCTGTGTGCAATATTTAACATTGCCATTATTAGGCACAGTATTTGTTTTATCATCTTATGGGTTAATTTGATTCTCTGACTAGTAGCTTTCATTATTTCAGGAGGACATAAATGAAAAATAGCTGTACAATATCACTGTTAAAAACAGCATTGATTAAAATTTGAAAAACAGAGGGAGATGTGGCACCTGAAGAATCTCTTTAATGCCTGTTAGCATTGTCCTGTCAACCCATGCTTTCTTGAGGAAGAACTTTTTATTTTTCCTTTTCTTTAGATCATTTAACTGTAACTGAGCCTGTGGCTATACTGAAAGCGGATGAGGTATGGGGTGCTTTAAGAGGTAAGCTGATAACTTTTTGTAGAGAGCTGTGTGTTCTGGGCTTATACAAACTCCATGGCAGACTAAAGAACCAGCTGATCGCTGAGCCTTGCCCTCATTCAGTCCTTCATGGGAGCTAAGCTTGGGCATAGAGGGCAGAAGGATACCCAGGTGTGTGTTGGTCAGACCCTCAGTCCAGGTGCTCAGCAGCTCAGATCCAATGGCACACTGTAAATGCACTCTTGCTGTGCCTGAAATCAGCCAAGCCAACCAAATCCTGGGTGCTATAAAGCTGTCTGATCTACAGTGTGAACAAATTACTCTCTGTCTGAACCTAATAACTGAACATGCTGGACACATCACCAAGAAGACCATAATGCTGAAGTTTCAGTCAGCTGTCCTTACTGGAATGTTAATCTAAATTAACAGATTTTTCATGGTGAATTAGAAGCTTCACCAGTTCCAGAAATGACAGGAAGAGAGGCATGACAGCACCAGAAATTCCTACCTTACTCTTGGTAATTTCCATGCTATTCAAGGATTAATTTGGTACAGCTGAGCTGTAGTGCTAATATTCAATATTTGTGTATAATGGAGAGTTTGAGTGGTTCTGTCTTCAGAATTTCTTTAACTGTGGTGCTTGAGCAATTAAGGAAACTCTGCCAAAGAGAAACTCAGCTACAAAGCATTCTTTCTAGCTGTGTGAACACCTGTAAATAGTTATGGTCCTGTTTGTACTGGGTTGTATTCCAGATCTATTTCTTGAATTTTTTTTTTTCAGGTTTGGAAACCTTCAGCCAGTTGGTTCATGAGGATGACTATGGAAGCGTAAGTATAGCTATTGGCTAAAACCAGTCCTGATAACAGACAAGCACATTCTTTGTTAGGTGCTCTTCTAAAAACAGCAGATCTACTAGTTTCATTAAGTATTTTTTCAGAAAATAATCCTTGGAAAGCTGTTAGCAAACTGAAAAGTAAGTATTTCCTGTTTGAAATGATGAATATAACATGGGAATTCTAATTTTTAAATCTCATTCTCGTAGTTCCTTGTCAATGAATCTGATATCAACGACTTCCCAAGATTTGCTCATAGAGGAATCTTACTAGACACTTCAAGGCATTATTTACCACTGAAATCTATTCTTACAAACCTGGTAAGTAGCAGTTTTGTATCATTAATAATGAAGGCTTTTTTGTTGTTGTGTTTTGCCCCATGAAGTAGGTAGCAACTGGAGCTGGTATGAAAGGAGAATCCATCTCCTCTGAGACTGACTTCTAAAAGGACAGTGTGAACTTTGCTAGTTGAAGGTCAGAACATACACTGGAGAGGAATTGAGTGGGCAGACACAATGACTAGTGAATCTGTAAAGGAGACCAGGATTTGTGGTACCTTGGGTTTTCTGTTTGTTCTGTTGCCCAAACCAGCTCATGTATTTCCTGGAAGCATGTTTTGAGACATCTGATTGTCACCAGGCAATACAGAGGAGATATTGCAAGTCCTAGCCTCAGTGCCAGTGGTTGCAGGAAAATTCCAGTCTTTTCAATAACCAGGCTCTGGTAGTCCTTTCTTAGGCTGCTAAGAGCAAGGCAGCGATTAAGTAGTACAGAGCAAGAGGGGAAACTGGAAATGTTCATTGGAAGCTACTGATTTCATTCACCGCATCCCTTCAAAAAGAGAAAAAAAAAACAGACAAAAAAAACCCAATCAAAACTTTCTCCAAAAAGCTTAAGTAAGCATACTAAGAAATGTGTACTCCCACCTTGGTGGGAAGGTGATGAATTTGTGTAATCATAGCAGCCAAGGATGTGGGTTTTTCTGTTTTGTACTCCCTTTTCTTGCTGTTGAAATCCTTGTAGCAGGGCTTATTTGGTGAGGAGAAATTGAGGAGCCTTTGAGGGGAGGAACATGCAGTTTTCTGTCTTGTCTGTCTTGCTTTTCCAAGATGAAATAGTGTTAGAAATTTCCCGTTCATGTTGCAGAATGTTGCAGAGCAGGCTTAAGATGGGCAGGAAGAGAGTGCAGGTAAACACCAGTCTTCATTTCTGAGGTCATCCTTGAACTATGCTCAGAACTTGCCCCTCTGTGGGTATTTACTGGTTGTATTCACTTGTAAGATCAGTCCCTGTTCAGCAAGTAGTGTTTGTGCAGTGTTTCATTTTACAACTGAGGGTGCTTCAAAGACTCAAGTAGTTACTTGTATCAATATTTGTTGTCTTTTCTAAAGGAGACAACAGTGTCCAAAGAGTAACCTGACTTTTGAGACTTGCATTTCTAACCATTTTGTCTTTCTGTAACTGTTGCTGTTCTGTTTTCTTTCCTTAAATTGTGTCTGTGGCTCTTAATACTTTCCCAGAGCTACGTTTTATGCCATTTATGGTTGGACTTCATGATCTTTGAGGTCTCTTCCAACCATAATGATTCTATGATAATGATTCTATTTTGCTGGTTTAAGAACAAGTGCAGTTTTCCTCCCACTTCTGTGCCTGCTTGAATCCGGTCTAACCTAATTAAAAAGCAGCAGTAATCCCTTCACTGGCATGTGGTAATTAGATAATTAAGGCAGCAGTTCAAGTACATTTCTTATTTGTGTTCAGCTGCTGTACTGTATTTCCAGGAAGGGCGTTGTCATTCAGGAAGGAGTGGCTGAGGTGAAGGTCAGGAGACATAATTTTCTGTATGGAAAAGTGGTACTTGATAGAAATGCATGAAGACATGCAGTAATTAAAACTTCTGCTGTCTAATAAAACAGGTGAGATAATTTTGGGGAATGGACAAGGTATAAATCTTCCTTTGAATTTGGTGGGAGTTCCTGAAGGGATTTTGTCACTTCTTTAAACACAGCTTGGTGGAAAAAGATAGATGTGTGTGTGGAAATAATTGTATTGTGGCAAAGGATTGGAAGCAGCTGTGTTGCAATTACTCAGTCATGAACAACGTTGAGAACACTTACTCAGTCTGCATGCAGCACACAGCACTTCTACTGACTAACAAAGTTTCATAACTCAGGGTATATGTGTAACTGTCCATCTGGGTTCATAATTCTAAAATAAGTGTGTTAACATTTATCTTGATAATCTTCAAGTTCAAAAAAAAAAAAGGGAAGTACTGATAGTGTAATGACTGAAAACATAGGGGAACACTATCTTCTGCAGGGAAAATGCGTACTTTATTTTGCATGCTTTTAAAATGGATTCTGCAAAAGTAACTAGCAAGTAGAGATGCACTAAATAGTAGGAAGCTCTGTCATGGTGTTTATTTTTCAAGTCCAAAGTATTTAGGTAAAAAAGCATAAGCTTTTCTGTAAGCTGAAATAGCTGATGGTGTGTAGACAGTTACCCAGATACATTCTGAAGTGGAAGAAATTCATAAGCATTTATAACAGTTCCTCTCCTACCAGCCAGTGTGGCATGATCAGATCAAGAGCTTGCTGACAGGAGTGGTGCAAATAGGTGGCAAAGAAATGGAGCAGTAGCAGAAACAGGCTGGTATGGTTTGGTGTATGCTTCTAGGATTCACTGAAATACAGTATGCTTTTTCTTTGAGTTTTTATTTTTTTTAGCTGTTGCTTTAGGCATGCAGGTTATACTGGGACAAGACCACCTTTTTTGCATAGGTTTTCTGTGAGAGTGAAGTGCTTAACTACACTGTATTGCATTATTTGTTACAGGATGCCATGGCTTTTAACAAGTTCAATGTTCTCCACTGGCATATAGTAGATGATCAGTCATTCCCTTACCAGAGTATTTATTTCCCTGACTTAAGTGACAAGGTGAGTAAACATCATTGGAGCAGGGTGGGAGGGCAGAAATCTGGCACATATTTCCTGAAAATAAAATGCAGAGCGTACCAATGGTTGAATACATCTGCCTTGGCTGATTTTGAAACAGTACCAGAGGACCAGTAACTAGCAAGTCCACATCTAGGATCCTACCTGAGTGTCTATGTGGACCATGTTCAATTCTTCCTTGGTGGATGCATGGTAAATGACCTGCCTAACTCTCCTGTGCAAATTTGCTGGTGACAGTGTTCCTCAGTGTTTGCAGACCTTCAAGCAGTAATGGTGTGCAAATAACCTGTTGTGGTGGACACAGCTTGGATTTCTGTTGGTTTGTTTGCTTAACTGGTAGACTTCTTGCCCCTCAATTGTAAAGAGTTTCCTGTCGGCTCTAGGTTTGGAACCACTGCAGTAGTATTTTTGCATTGTCTGAGATCCAGTTAACTTTACAAAACACAACATGTCTATAAGAGATCCAAAAGTGAGAGATTGTTTTCTAAAACAAATACAGTGCAATGTATCTCTTTATTGCCAGATTCACAGCAGATTTTGCTAATTAATGAAATCCCTCATGAGGTTCTTGCTCAGTCACGGTACAATAGTAGCCAAATCAAGCATGAATAATTAAGTAGACTGAGCCTAAGCACAAGATTTGTGATTCTGTTTTAAAATGCTTGCTAGAACCTGGCTGTCATGAAAATTATGTAGGCACTGCTTGAGCAGATGACATGAAGAATTTTTTAATTAAAAAATTGTAGATGTTGCATGGTGCAGTCAGATTATTTTTCCTAGTAATGGCTGTGGAGTTCTGTCCTATTCCTCGCTGACAGCTGGAGAGAGGGAGATGGCCTTTGTCTCAATAGCCTTCTTTTTGAAAGGCTTTTTGTTTACCATTATCTCTTTTGAGTAACTCAGCTGTGGAAACCTTTTCCAGATAAATGGAAGCTTAAGGTGCTATTAATCATGAGGAGTCATAATGCTTTTGTTCTGTAGTTTGGCTCTTTGGCAAGCATCTGTTTTGCCAAACGGTAGCAGTCTGGGTCATTTGTCACATTTGTTGGCTGTATGGGAGTGGAATACCCTCAAATTCAGTGTCACAACCCAAACACAGCCTCATGCTAAACTGGGCATTGTGTCAAAACTGACAAGCAGAGGTGTTCGAAGAAGATGCCATTCTTTCTGACTTTTCCGTTAGTCTTGCATGGCATGTAAGGAGAGCCCTATGTTTCAGAACTAATGCTGCAGAGGTGGAGGGGAAAACTTGCCTCTGTACAGAAGAAATGAAAAATGTATCTTTCAAAAATCTGATGAAATAGAAACTAGCTTTTCTGTTTTCTTCAGTAACTGTGAGCTAAGGAGGAAAGGATGTCTCCTCAGGAGATTTATTTTAGAGTGGAAAAAGGAGTTAATTTTTGTGGTTCTGCCCCCCACTAAGTCAGCTGAAAAGTTCTGTCAGTGCCATTGCACATGTGATAAACCAGAAAAGGCCAACTTGTAAAACTGCTCTCCAGTCTAAATTATAACACTTTAATCCCAATTTTGTAAGCTGCTGGTATAACATTTTATGAACTGTCTCTAAATACCAATACTTTACAGGGAGCATACTCCTATAACCACATCTATACTCCTACTGATGTCCATCTGGTGATTGAGTATGCCCGGTTAAGAGGCATTAGAGTCATCCCAGAGTTTGATACCCCAGGACACACACAGTCTTGGGGAAAAGGTATGTCCAAGAAAGTATTAATGGTTAAAAGATTGTGGGAAGTAGAGTGTAGCAAGCAAATGAACTCGTTAAAAAGCAGCCTTTAAAGGTGCTTTGAAAGGCCCTTGATAAGAAGTAAGCAAGGGGCAGACTCAGGGATGGTCATGACCTTTATGTGCTAGAGGAACTAAAGTGAATGGAGAAAGCTAACACTTCCTGTGCTACATGTGTGTCCAAAGGCACAGATATATTCTGTCTGCCTTAGACTTCACATTGGTATGCCCCCATCCAGTACTCTTGAGTTTAGAGTAATAAGGCAGTGGCTAGTAATAGTGAGTTGCTGTCTCTAGAGTAGAGATTTCTGCTTTGGGAAGGTTCTTTCACAGTGGTTGATGTTTCTGTCTAGTGAAGTCGTAATCTGCCAGTGTACAAAACACAGCAAAATGTGATGCTTCTTCACTCTCTGTCTTCTGGGTTTCAGAGTAATACTGCTTTTGATAGAGAATGCTTGAATCCCGAGAGTGGTGTTTACATGTACTCAAGGACCAGGGAACCTTGTGTCTTAATTCAAGGTGCACTGACTGCGATTTCACTGCAGTTAATGTAAGATGGGTTTGGCCACACTGGAAATAGTAAAGATTTTTCCAGCACTTCATAGCTTTAGCCATGGGGTGAGTCTTGTGCTCATCCTGTGGGAATGTGGCCATAATGTTGGAAGATTCCTCGGACTCTTTCTCACCAATTTAAAATGAGGAGGAAAGGAAAAAGGCAAAAACTACTCTTTCTGAATCCTTCATCTCATGTGGTCTTTACTGTTACGGAGCACTAATAAAAGCCAATGGTTTGCCTGGTGGTATGTGAGGTGGTCTACATTCATATTAAGAGCAAGGTTCAGTTCCCTTCCCTAAAATCAGTTGCTCCTGGTAGCTGCTTGTATAATAGCTTTTTTTAATGTGATGCACAGGAGCCAGTCCTGGCTTTGCCTATGACCCTGCATAGCTATGCTTTGTTTGCATTCAAATTCAAGATTGGAGAGAAGCCTTAAGGCATGTGAGGAGGGCAGTTGAAGCAATCTACCTCTCGGGCCTTGTTTGGGGAAAATGTGCTCCAAGTAGGAAACACACAGCCAGGAAGGTGTTGCTGCTGCAACCACAGTTTACCAAATAAACTGGACTTAGGAATTTCCAACCTACATATAACTTTTTCCTATTTTGTTATCCTGGCTCATATTGCTTCAGATATCTTGACTCAAGAACCAGTGTTTCTTTAGTTTTGATGTCTGCCTGACCTTCCTTTCTTGCAGGTAGAAGTAAACTCCTAGCAGACTGAGGTGGGACATCTAGCTTGAGCCATGTAACTCCCACATACTTAGGTGTTAGCAAAGCAGAGTAATAAAAAGAGGAGAGGCCTCTGGAGCACACTTATTACATTTGCCTTCCTTCTCATTTGCTTCCTTCCTAAATCCATTAAAGCTTTTTTATTCAAGTAGTCATCCAGAAGCTGTTTTCCAGGTGTAGTGACATGTTCCATATATTACTGAGTGTTAAATCACAAATCTAAAAGTCAGAGTCCTGATTTCCAGTTAGAGGGTTAATCGACCTTGGGCAAGTTGTGGGTTTTTGTTTTTTTTTTTTTTCATCCTTCCTCTATTTGATTATACTTAGAATAGATGAGCATTTAAGTAATGAATATTAACCTTTTTAATATGATTAACTGCCTCTTCCTGCTAGCAAAGTTAGCATACCAACATGGAACTGAATATCCTCTATTAATTGTTTCTATTAGGTCAAAAAGATCTTCTCACCCCTTGTTACAGTGGAGAACAGCCAACTGGGTCCTTTGGACCTGTAAATCCCATTTTGAATACAACTTATGACTTCATGACTAAATTCTTCAAAGAGATCAGCAGTGTATTTCCAGATGCATACATTCATTTGGGAGGAGATGAAGTGAACTTCGATTGTTGGTATGGTGACAGTTCAAGGAATAAATATCTAGTGCCTCTTAAACTTGCCTAAATCCATCCATTATGGAACTCAGTTGCACGAGACAGTTTTCACTACTTAACCCAAAGATCTCCACTCCTACTTCTGTAACTATTTACAGGCAGAGCATTTGTGATCTTCAACAAGTGAGTGATGATGTGCAGAATTTTGGTTTGACTAGTAGCTTCACAAATGTTCAGGTACTCTAAAGGATTTGTTTATGAAAATTATTCTGGCAGGAAAGAGAACTAGTATGGTAGAAAAGGACTATGTTAAAGGAAAACCAGTTCTTTCCATTGAGTTCTGCCTTCCAGAAAACCTGCTAATATGAAGTATTACAGTACTGCATCTTGTGTGCTTGTATTAAAAGTATGGTATGTATTAATACAGTTCTTCAATTGGTTGTGGATTTTGAATATTTTGGAGTCTCTCTGCTGGAGTAACTAATAACGTGGAATTTGGAGCAGATCTAATTGGATGAATATTCAAATTGATCTAGTTAGTATTTGTGTGTTCTCTTGAAACATCAAATCTGAACACTCAGGACTTGCTTTAATTTTTAAAAAGAAAGAAAATTTCTGACAAATGCTTTATGACAGAAGTGTTGGTTTGCCTTTGGGCTGTTTTCCCAAATTCTTGATGTCACTCCCACAGATCCCCTGGTACTATGGCTGCTCAGTTTCCAGACCTGCTGGCAACCTGCCCACAAAG